CACACCAAATTTTGAAGTCAACCGTATACTCATTAAAAAAAAAAAGTTAAACCTTTTCTTTGAGATGCAGTTCAATCTTAGTATTTTGTTTTAACAAAAAAAGCCAGTTGCATTGCCGGAATGACGTAATCACGCACTTGAACGCCTTATTGCAGCTGCGGTCGTTTTAATGTGACGTTTTCCTGTTTCTTTTAACAGCTGAGAGCTGATGTTGTCCCCAGAACTGCAGGTATTTATACCCGTTTGATGCATTGTTAATCTCTTCCTCCTCGTGTGATGTTTAGTGCTCATCACTTGTCTGTTGTCTTGCAGAGAACTTCAGGCAGCTGTGCACCGGTCAGCCTGGCTTCGGCTACAAAGGCTCCACCTTCCATCGCGTCATCCCCGACTTCATGTGCCAGGTGAGAAGGATTTAGTCCCACCCAGGTGGAAATCAACCATGGCTGCTAACTCAATAGCCAATTTGTTGGGCTTTGATTTGATAAATGATGTCCTCCAACATATGCAAGTAAGCCTAAAAAGGTTCGCACACTGGACAAGAAGCGCTCAAGTCTTTCAAATTCGAGCATTTTCTATGAGTACGCATTTTGCATCATTTTGTACGGAGATGCTATTTTGCATCTGTTCAAAATCCTGCTGTGCCACTCGCGTAGTTATCCATTAAGTTACATTAACGATGATTTTGGTCAAACATTTGCATGTACTGACTTCACCCTGTGCTGGAGAATTGTGTATTGTGCTTTAATTTTTCCCACAGCGCCTTGTCTTCAATCGTGTATGCTTCATGTTGAATAATATAGATAAACTGTTCTTAACTAATGCAAACAGTTTAAACTCTGATGCCACTTTTGCCTTTATATTAGTAATTTGATTCACTGTTCTGAACTTCCATTAAATATTTCATGGTGTTCACAATGTTTGGCTGTCAAATTCAGTGGTTGACAATTAATATTTAAATCACAGCCGTGACTTTTGATAATCTGGTTTAATTCAGGGTTTTATTCTTAAACTCGTAGAAATTTCTGAATGGCTGGTGAGTTCAAGTTACTTTCAAACCCTGTCCCGAAGTCTTCTGAGATCTTGGTTACACTATCAGTTTTGCGGTTCGCTTCTAATCTTGAGACCTTTGGATGCAGGGAGGCGACTTCACGAACCACAACGGAACTGGTGGAAAGTCCATTTATGGCCACAAGTTTGAGGATGAGAACTTCACCCTGAAGCACACCAGCGCTGGCTGCCTGTCCATGGCCAACGCCGGCCCCAACACCAACGGTTCCCAGTTCTTCATCTGCACAGCAGTTACTTCATGGTGAGCAGAAGCGGTGTGAATGAGCATGTCTTCCAGTAGCCCCTCACTGCAGAACAAAGATCCAGGGGGCGTGATTGGATCCACATCTAGGGGGTGGAGATGGGTGGGTTTAGGGGTGGTGATGGGTGGGTTTAGGGGTGGAGATGGGTGGGTTTAGGGGTGGTGATGGGAGTGTGTTCTGCAGTGAGGACTGTCTCAAGTCTTCTGGATCCATGCTGTAGAGCGCCTCTTCCTGACCTCTTCACGTTTTCTTTCTTAAAACACATTTATTTATTCATTGGCATTTAATTCGGTTTGAGAGCTGTGGTTTTTGTCTTTGCCGTTTTGTTTTTCTAATCAGTAATGTACAATACTGTGTACAGTACCTTATTGTTGTTTGTTGTATGACACTTTATGTACAGCTCTTTGGTCAGCTACTGTTGTTTTTAAATGTGCTCTAGAAATGAACTAAAATTGAACTTTCTCCCCCAGGCTGGACGGTAAGCACGTTGTCTTCGGACAGGTTGTGGAGGGCTTGGACATCATCAAGAAAGTGGAGGGCTACGGTTCCAGCAGTGGAAAGACCAGTGCCAAGATCATCGTCGCTGACTGTGGCCAGCTATAAACACCTCCGCCCAAACCTTAGTCTAGTTACCCCTCAGTGCTCCCTTTCACACATCCTGCCGCTAACCGCAATATTCCTGTCCAAGATCTACAACCCCTCCCTATATCCTTCAGGCGTCCATCTTTGTCTCTGACCAGTTGCCTTTGCTGGTTTGTTTTCATTTGCAAATGAAGTCCTGTAGGCCTATAATTTGTGTATCAAAATCTGAAAATAAAGGGGAACAATGACGTGAAACTTCTTGAAGCGTATTTTTGTGTGTTTTATGTTGCTTCAGGTTAATGTAAGTCCTGTTCAGTGAGCTCTTTAATTTTGATCTCGCTCTTTTTCCAGAGAACTTGCTGATCCGGCTCATAAATCTGTCTGAATTTCTTCACTGATCCTCTAGGCAGTTCAGCTTCCTCAGTGAATCCAGTCAGAGCAGTTCCAGCTAACAGACTTGCCCTCCAGGGAACTTTAAATCGAGGCTATTGCAACTTCAGAAGTGTTGTAATCTAGTACGTGTGTATTTTATATATATATATATATATATATAAGCAAGCCATGGGATAAATGATTGTTGAATGGAAAAGTTTGAGGGTTAGGGTTTTTGGGTGAACCATTTGTTTAAGCTTTATATTAAGCTTTAAATTATCAGCATGAAACAATTTGCCAATTCGAAGTTTTTTTTGTTTGTTTTTTTTAAACCAGGAAAGTAATGTAGGGTGTAAGTTTCATTCATTTTGGAATGTGAATGACTACTTGTGGCAGTTGTTTAATGCGAGTGACGCATTTCTGGTTTTTGGATTATTGTGCCACCCTTGCCTTGGTGCATGTTTTAAGAAAATGGACCGATAAATCATAATTAATGCAGTAATATTCCATAAAATAAGAAACATGGTGACTTTAAGGATGTAACTTGATTATATCAAATGTAGTGTCATTCAACATAATGTTATTCCTATCTTTATAGGTTGTGTTACCAGCCAAGAGGACAGCTGGCAAATGTGTAATCTTAGCTGTGTGAACATTCGGTGCCAAATTAAAGTGACTTCATTGAACATGTAACACAATCACTATAGCGCCTGTGAGACAAATGCATGTTTGTCATTGTCACATTAAGATTAATGTTTAAAAATGTAATTGCTTTGGACAGGTTTTATTGAATAATAAATCAATCCTGAGATCTAAACAAGGTTACTGATAAACAAATGAAAATTCTTTGCATGTATTGTACATTTAAGTCAGGTGCCATTTAAAGTGACCGTTCAAAACTTGGGGACCTTCAAAATGTTCCAACTTTTTCAGGTTATTCAAATAGCAATGAGATAAAGAATAATGTATTGTTGAATGATGATGAAATACATTTATTACAATCCAGTAGGAATGGCTTAGATGTGTGCATTTACAAGAATTCACTAATTCTGCTCAAAGAGGCCATCAACACTGCACATTATACATCTCCCTTATGTTTAATTCAGTTCATTAGATGAGTGTGCAGTGACCTGAACAGGGTGTCTTTGCACAGTTAATGCTGTGTCACTTTCAGCTCAAAATTCAGTGTGAAGACGCAATGCTGCATAAAAGCCAGACTAAAGTGAGGTATGCCCACCTCAGCCCCTACTATAAAATACACAGTAATTGATGTGTAAATGCAATTATGAGCAGCATTAAACATTATAAAGACGCCTATGCCAGTTCAGATGCGCTTCAGCGTAAATATGGCCTCAGATACCAGAAACACGTGCAGTGCTGATAGACTTCCAGGAGTTGAAGCCGAGGCTCAGCAAACGTATTCGTTGGAATACCCGACAGAGGGCGCTCGACTCAAACCTTTACTTGCATTAAAAGAAAACCAAAGCCATGCTCACTGTCATCAGCGCTGCGTTTCAATACATATTTTCCGACTTCTACATGCTTTATATATTTTTTTTATTATTATTATTGCAAAAAACACATACAGTAAGGCAATACAAGCTCGTAAAAAGATCCTCAAGAACAGCACCAATCCAGCAGGGGAAAAAAACACGAAGAGAGAAAATAAAGAAAGAAAAAGAAGAATTACACAATAGGGTCTTCTAATAGTTTACATTTCTGCAATAAACTAAACAGTCTTCTTCCAGTTTTACATTTTAACAGTCTTACAGATTTACAGTACATCCAAAATGCCTTCTGAAAAACAGAAAACAATGGCTTTGTTTCAAGGCACTTTCAGTTATGAATATAAAATTGGCCCAAAATGAAAATATTATCCAGAACAACTTGAGTATGTACATCCTCCATTATTAACCCACAAATGATATCATTTTGAGAACATTGAGAAGACAGCTTGATAAGCCACTGGAATGGATCCGAGCAAAAGGCTCTACTGAATGAAGTCAGAGAGTAACTGTACAATTATTGTGATCAATATTAAATCTATATCTACGAAACTCTAAAGATGGGTAGATAGCATTAAAATTTTTAAAGTGTAACTTTACTTCCTTGGCTTTGGGGGCTGTGGGAAAGGAGAGACATGGTTCTTAGTTTAAAAATAGAGCTCTTGGGGAAAAGATAGGCTAATTCACGTTATTTCGACTAGCTTGATTTGGACATTTATTTTGGGTCAATAAAGTCCTTATGAATTTATTTATATCAGGCTACTCCTAATAAAATCTTGCCCATTTATTATACTTCTACATGCTTTATAAGCAAAATAATTATAGGAACAACTTTATTTCGAGCAACCTCGCTATCCTTACCTCAGAACCTCTAACCATACGCCATGCTGGCGTGTCTTGTCATGTTTCTCGGTAGGTTAGTCTTCGGCTCCGCTCAGCCTGTGCTGGTCTGCGGTCAGCTCCTCGGCTCGGGGCGGCACACGCCCTGTCCGCGAGGGCTGTGGGGCTGCGCGCGGCAGAGCAGCCTCCGGTCGCAGTCGCAGCGCTCCAGTCTTCTGCGGGATTTGGTGCGTCCCCGCAGCAGGCACACCTCGCCCAGCGCCGGCACGCGCTGACACCTCCTCCCAGTCAAGTAGAGCGCGCAGCACAGACCGTCCTCACAGTCGCGCGAGCGCACGCACGGGGACATCTCGGGCGCTGCGGGCGGAGAATCACCGCGAGGGTCAGTGAGTCAACTAAAGTAATGAGTGCAGTCAAACCTAGAAGGACTTGAGTTTTTCTTAAAGGTGCAGTGCTGTGGCCGAAGACGTCACGTGCGCTTCCGAACGAGCCGGGAAAGTTTCTAGTTTGAAAAGGCTTTTTTGTTTTGGACTTTTAAACATTCTGTTAAGCAAACAACGTGTTTAAGGTAAAGGAAATCTTGTTGACAGTTTTACAGTTTAATTTGACATCAAATGAAATTTAATGCACACATTTCTACAAATACTCGTTTCCAATTTTCAATTATCAGTTGTTTTCTACATAAAATCGTGGTAAATGAAAACCCTTCCTTCTGACACAAAACATAAGACAGACCTTGTTATTTAAGAGTTCACTTTTCAGATTGTTGATGTCATTTTGACTGTTTTTTTATTTATTTATTTATGGAGCAGTTAGGCCTAATTAATTAAAAGGTGAAAAATATGATGGTGACAACCTGAGGAAACAACTTAAATTCTATGTAATATATTTATATTCTGTATTCTTAGATTTAAGACAAAATGCTTTTTTCCTCATAAATTATAACTTTTTTTTCTTAAAATTACGTCACACTTAAAATGACAATTGATTACCAGCCACAACGTCGTCCTGCTTTATCAGTTCACTTTTAGGAACTGTTCATTTTGATTTAACAGTTTGATAATTTGTCATTTTAATCTCTGTGCTTATTGTACTGTAATATCCTGTTGTTGACACAGCAAAATAGACCTATGCAGAGTTTTTACAGCTGAAGCAGACAGTGAATGTATGTTGTTAATGTTTCCCATAATGTCTGTCCTGGCCAGCACAGGGAAAATTACTAATAGTCAATAATATAGCAACACTTGACCAAAGGTATGACCCAAAAACATGATTTAAAAAAACCCCCATAAAACTATCCTTACCTTTTTGACTTCCTCGCACATCCAACTGAACCTGTGTCTTGGCAGAATTGAGCTGTTTCTTCTTTGAGCCTTTGCATCCAGTTGCCTTGTGAAAGACAGAACGTGAATAAAGACAGCTTAAATATTCGGAAAAATTGGGATTGCAAATGGTTGGATGCAACTTCAGTAGATTACAATACTGAACCAAACAAAATCTTACTTGTGGAGCGGTGCAGTCTTGTACAGGAGGTGAAGCTGTTCTGATTCCCTGAACAGCTGAGGTCCTTCTAACAGAATTATGGGAATTTGCAACTGTGTCACTCTGTAGATGCAATACTGACTGGAAGAGATTGTCAGACAGAAGTAGTGACAACAAGTAGAGTGATTCTGTTTTTAAAGATAGTCACATGCATGCATGCACATATACAGTATATATATAAGCAAAAATAAATAAAAATTAAGGTTTAAGAATATAAATTCTTACCTCTTGAGAGTTTGTAATTTCTCTGGAGGAGCGGATAATGTTGGAATCCAGGCACTGTACAGCAGAAACAACAGACAGACAAAACATGACATAAACTGTCTGCATGGTTGTATCCAAACTGTCCTGACCACAATGAGGCTGTGTGCAAGAGCAAGATGTCGAGCTCTAGTGTGGAAGAGCAACCTGCTCTGTGTTTTAATGGACCTACAGCAATTACCCTAAACATGGAGAAAAAAAAGAAGAAAAAAGAAAGAATGGGTCTTTCATTATCTTGAGAGTTTGTAATTTCTCTGGAGGAGCGGATAATGTTGGAATCCAGGCACTGTACAGCAGAAACAACAGACAGACAAAACATGACATAAACTGTCTGCATGGTTGTATCCAAACTGTCCTGACCACAATGAGGCTGTGTGCAAGAGCAAGACGTCGAGCTCTAGTGTGGAAGAGCAACCTGCTCTGTGTTTTAATGGACCTACAGCAATTACCCTAAACATGGAAAAAAAAAGAAGAAAAAAGAAAGAATGGGTCTTTCATTAGTGGTTACTTTCTGAGTGTTTCAGTGTTTATGGTCTCAGCTCATGTAGGAAGTGTGTAGTGAATTGCGGTGGTAATTAAGGCAAATTATGGCCCATACGCATAACAAACATGAAAGCTTGGCTGTACCTTTCATGGCATGTAAATCCTCATAGACCCTTTACACATGTAACACCTTTGAAACTTGTTATGATGAAAAATATGACATCCTTTAAATGACAGCCATCAGTTAACCGCATCA